GCTTCAGCGCTTCAATGGGTGAAATGGGCCAGCGAAAAATAAAACATTTCAAACTCACGCCACAACTTCACTAACAGTTTTCAGTGAGTCATGCTGGCAGGGCATTTTCATTTTATGATGGAGAAAACATTAATAAATTAGGTTTTGTAGCGTTCAGGTTTCAACCTGCGCTTAAGTACGACCCCATCGTTTCTCTCCTTGAGTACGTGCAAAATTTGATCCTTCACAACCATGGCACTCATTCTGAATCTGGGACCTCAATCTGAGGAGTGACCATCCAAAATGCAAGCTCATTATCCTTAAAATCTTTTTTTTTTATGGAAGAAACACAGCTAATGACAGTGATGACAGTTCCCCTGATTTTGCAAGTCGTGACGGCCCTTGTTTCTCGGTAAAAGCCACCCAGGCAATTAAAATAGATTCTCACCGTAACGGCTGGCACTAGGAGAGAGCACAACGGCGGGACTGAAAACATCCGGTTGCGATTTCTTCAGGCCCTCCATTAGGGCTGCATGGAGGCGGAAGAGATTGCTGGATTCATATAGGCTCCTTACTCCTTTTTCACTCTCTCTTCTTAAAGTCATTGCCATGAACTTTGTATCGAACAACACTGGGTAGAGGGCATGGACACCTTTCTTGAATTCCCCATACCTACCTGAAACACATTTCATCCTCGTCAAAGACTTCAAGAAAGTGTATAATAAATTATGTGTTTAATAAATGATCAGTTGGCTGAAATATAGCATTGCCGATCCTTGTCTTTGGCATGGAACGAATAGGTATAGGTTTCCTTTTTTAATTCAAAGATTAATGTGCAATACTTCATATGAACACTTTCAAACCTGGAAATCGCATAAACGCGGGGTTCCCAATAAGTTCTCGGCCCTACTACTTGATTTATCTTGTCGTATTAAAAATTTTTCACGGATTTTCGCAAATTTGAGCACCGATCCGTGATCGAATTTTCAACAAAAGGAAGGCTTGTCACCGCAGCCGATTCATATGTGCCTTCTAAAAGCTTAGAAACATCATTCACTTTCCTACAGCGCGGTAAAGGAGTTGGAAACTGAATTCCTACGACGAGATTCAATCGATGATGATTCTCATCCGGGTCGACCTTCCGAGGTGACCACAGAGGAAACGTGCATCGACGCAGAAAATCTAGTAACGAAGGACAGACGAATCAAAACGAGGCAAATAGTACAGGTCTAGGGTATCTCAAAGGACAGTGTTCGAACCATCTTGCACGAAAAATAGTGTGGAAGGTCTCTGTCCGCTGGGTTCCCCGGATGTTTTCCGTCATTCAACGTGGGGGCGTGGTCGTGATGAGTCGACAGAATATGGATCGTTTCAACGCAGATCCAACAGATTTTTTTCACGGAGAGTTACTGGGGGACGAAATCTGGCTGGACCACTGAGACCCGGAATCCAAGCAGCAATCGACGCCGTGGAGGCACGAGGACTCTCCGCCACGCAGGAAGTTTCGGGCGGGCCGAGGCAGGCAAAGCCAAGGCGACGATTTTCTGGGACACTTTGGTAGTCGTTCGCATCGACTATACTCCCCCTAGCAGTACGATCGCTGGCCAGTACTATGCTGCATTACTGGAAAGATTGCGCAAATCCGTGAAAAAGAAGCCGAAAGTGCCGACGAAAATTGAGGAAAGGGGTCCTCAATTTTGCACGACGATGCACCAGTTCGCACAGCCAGGGCTAGCTACACGGGACAGCCCTAGCCACTTCAGCGCCCTGTGCATGGAGACTCCCAACAAGGAATTGTACTAAAAAAAATTGGCAACCATTTCTAGCTTGGGAGGCCTACTTGCACTATTTGCAAACAAGAGGCTCGTCGTCAGTCATCTTTCATTATATGAAGTAACTTGAAACGATAGCGCCCCCCATCCGCAGCACGAATTCGAAAACCTACGCAAATAACAACAACATCATTCGAGATTTTAATTAAATTCAGTTCTTTTACTCAACAGAGTGATCTCAAAAATACACAAACTTCAAGCACAGAATGCTTCATTTTAGATTTACCTGCAAGGAACAATGTTTTATTTTAGTACATGTTAGAAATGTTAACTGCCAACATCAGCACGTTCTTGGAATCTTTTTCAGCACAGAATTCAAAACCATTCAGTGTTGAAATTTGTGAATTCATAAACTTGAAACAAAAAATAAAAATAAACATGAGGTACTTTACTACTAGGTATTTATAGATCACCCTGTACTTTAACGTTTCAAACGGCGAAGTATGACAGAGCGAGCAGGATTAATTGACTGTATGTCACTTTCTGCGAAGCGCGTGACCCCCCGGCAAATAGATTTTCATTTGTCAATGTCTAGACTCGGTCAATGGACAGCATCATCGGCAAAGAGGAGTATTTTTTTATCGTCTCGATCCAACTGATGTTGACCCTCTCCAGTCACTGGCTGAGAGTACAGATTCTGCCCGGTGTGTCTATCTATCCATGAAAGGAAAGAAGAATGCAACCCTGGCAAGTCCAACTCATATGGAGAAAGATAAATGGATATAGAAATGTAGACATATTAATGCTTTTTCGCGCATATCTATTCGTGAGGAATAGATACGTAAATGGTATGCTTTATGTATGACTTGGAGTTAATGACTCCTTTAACCCTGTAATAGCCAGAACCCGGGTGGTCATGTTTCATCTTGTTTCATCTCTTCACCCCAAAAAATCTCCTCAAAATACTTTGCCTAATTTCGATCACGGGTCTTCATGAAAATACACCGAGTATCGGATTTTACAAGTTTACGGCGCAGCCTGCACAAATGGATAAATGGGTCGGGAGAAAAAGACGAAACTCCAACTATTCAATATTTTTCCTCCGATCATCATATCGAGCGTTACTCAGAGTCCGTAAGGGCCAGTCCAGGGGACGACCATGTTGTTTCGCGTACGAAACCATCTGTTTTCAATGGTCAAGTCGCGGTAGGAGTGAATCCTCAAAGACGGAAAACGGGTTCGTAGGTCCCCCCGAAATGAGCCATGCTGTGATCGTAAATCATATGTTGCAACTCGACTCGAACGACGCCGCACCGAGTCGAACGGATGCGCTCGAAGGTGCAATTTCTTCATCTCACTCTGTAATCTGTACGGCCAGCCTCAAGTGCCCTCGTAATTAATGTCTGAGGGATCTGTTCGCATATTTTGTGGCCATCCATTTTATAATCTTGGAGTAAAGAGTTTTCATTTGTATTTAATCAGCAGGGTGCAGTAAACATACACTCTGAAAGGTAATGGTTCAGACGAGAATCCTAAGATGGTTGTACGCTTTCAGAGCGGTTTTGGTAATCGAGAAAACATTCGAAAATTATTTTAAACTCACTTAAAAAAAAAAAACTATTTAACATGACGACGGATAACAACTCTGTAGCTCTCGAACTTTTAAAGAAGGGGCTCGGTGCGAGTTTGTCTTATGAACCCTAGAACACTTTTCCCCCTATCTTTGCTTAATAGTTACTCGTGGGAGTGAAGATGTGAATGGTGCAAATCATAATAGATATTATCTGCCGTGTCAAAGCCCTGGTAGCTCTGGAATCAGCCAGTTTCAGCTAATGTGTGCTTGGTTCCATGAAAATTATTCTATAAAAGCTTCACCAAAAATGGTTGCAATCCGAACCTTAATTTTTAGAATGTCGAACCGTTTTTCTCTACGTTTGCTAAATACTTATAGCTCGGAATGATCGTGTGAATGTTCTAGGTCGTAATACTCATGTTCTGCTCTGTCAAAGCCGTGGGATCGTGGTGGTTCCAGGAATCGGTTTCAGCTCTTCACAAATCCATGAAGGTTTCACTCCAGAACCCTCTTAAACCTTTGTTTTTAGGGTGTAATACTCTAACGGCTGCGACCCCTTAGTTGGACCTCCATGTATTAATATGGGAGCGACGCGATCTGATTTAACCTTGCCGCAGACCCAGACGCATGACGCAACTGCCTCTCGCTGAAAAGCGCGACTTCTCCTGTTTCAGATCAGCTAAGCCACCCATCCACGAGCTACAAATTTGTGAAATAACATATTTGGCATTCTGGAATCCCTTCTAATCGGTTCGATGAAAATCGGACTCCAGTAAGGCGCTCCACTCCTAAGCAGCGATTTTAAAAAATGCGTTCGAAGTAGACTAGCGTATGCCGTAGATACCCACTGTCACCTTGTCTCTATTTTATTTTCGCACTATCGTGCCTTCGCAGTCGCCATTTAGCAGAAGCAATAAACAGGGAACATCCTTGGTATTAATGAAATGAAACAGCTCGAGAGCTGTCTTCTTTTGCATAGAAACGGAAGCCCACTGGCGGGAAGCCGCATGCTGATGCGTTCCAAGTCAATACTTACGTGCATACGCCAGGAGTCGAACGAACTGTTCGGCTCTCGCGTCAACCTGTGAATTTGCAACGTTAAACCGAACGTGTGTTCAGGTCTACGTCTTACGAGATGATCAGTCCGAACTGGTGGGATATTATTCTACCATTAACATATGATGGGACTTACACACTAAATTGAGCACGAACTCGTAGTTCTGTAGAAAATTTTTCGTAGAGGTACCCCACAGCCGAAACGTTGATTGCCCCACAGCTAATTGTTTCATATCCAATATCGGGAGCGCTCGGATTTCATGCTTGTACTTCCTCGCACGATCGGAATCTCAAAGTAAATGAGCATCACGGCATCTTCGATGCAATAGGGAAACTAGAACGAGATGAATTGAATGACTAGAGACCGCGTCAAACAAGCAGTCGATACCTTTAGCCGAAGCGTTTGAGTCGAGTTGCATATACCCAAAGCGTTCGAGTTTCATAGTTTTCCCCTCCATTGGACTCAGGACGGTAGTTAGGTTAATCGTAGTCCAGTCCAAAGCAGGGGAGACTTGCATTTAAAAGAAGTGCCAACATTCCGAAGTATGATTCAAAGTGATGGAAAATCCCTAAAGAACGTTTTCCTAAAGAGAGAGATAGAACAGATGCATGTACTGACTTGGGAGAGGATCGTGGAATTGATGGTAGACGAGGAGGAGGTCGAGGAAGAGATTGTGGGCGACGACGGGTTTCTTGGAAGTCGCAAGGGCGTCCAAGACGACGGAAAAGCCTCGCATGGCCGCAATCAGCTCTTCCTCTGCATTGGACTTCTCGTTTCCCTTCGACTCCTGTCGCCACTCTTTCCCAACTTTTTGCACCACGAACTGGAAAGCGAGGGATCCGCTAAAGCAACTCATCATTCGCGCCTATCATCGGACCAAGAGTGCATTTGATTCTCGGGGTGAAACAGCATCTTCTCGAGTATTCAACTCTCCAGGTACTAAAGCACCTTTGCCTTGAAGGTCACCTTTACGTTCATAGCTATCATTCCTCGCCTCAGCAATGTTCCACTTTCCAAAATAAAATTCCATTCCTACTTTCAGCATGGCACTGGAGTCACCCATCTGCCAAATGTCAGACGCAACTCACCATAATTTCCCAGATTCTTGTAGTACATGCATCACATAAGTTGTCAGTATTAATCGCCAATCAACATTAACAGCTGACTTAGATGAACTGCAAGAGGTAACTGAAAACCATATGGTGGGTTGCAAAACTAAAATTTGAACCCTTTCACGGGTACGCGCTGAAGCAACAGTTTTGCCTTATATGGGCCGGCCAGAGGTAAGTCGAGGTATTAAGCGTATCTAAATCTCTTTTAAATTGATTGGATATATTTCCAAGAATAATTTCAACAGATTAATGCGCGAAAACTGCACATAAATGCAAGCTGTCACTTCGCCAAAAAGAGAATCAATCTGGGCGAACGCACTGCGTCGGAAAAACTCGCTTGTGAAAGGGCTAACCCTTTGGGGTTCGAGTATTTTGGATAAATCAGCACTGTCATCCAATTTTTTTTCATCCCTCATCATGAGGCCAACATGAGATAACTCGGGCGTGGACCCCAAAAGCAAAAGTCCATCCAACGTGAAGTCCTATCGAAGGAAAAACGCGGTCAATCTAAACGTGATAGATGGAAAATTATATCCACTATGGACTGAATATAAGGTGGTTAAAAAAAGAAAGCTATGGGAGATGGGGCTATCTACTGTTTTCTATGGGAGAAATACAGTTCATAAAAGCAGCAAAAAAAAAAACATTGGATACGCGATCGATATTTGACAAGGTGTTGAAATGCTTACCAGCTTTTTTTCAGCACCCTCCCTAAGTCGTGTAACACCCATTTAGAGGTGAATTAAAAGTGCTTAGAGGTGGATCATGTCACCTCAAGTGAGGTGAATACCTGTGTTCGACCGTGTCAGAATTCAATGAATTTTTCAACTTTAACTTCTCAAGGGACAGTTGGATCCAGCTGATACTTGACAGAGAGGTTCATGAGTCTAAGGGTTTTTTTTTTTACTTCTGCAAGATGGTGCTGTATCCCGACAGAGGCAGCTGTTGTTGCGAAGATTTAAGAGATCGTATCTATGCTGCTGTTAACGCTGTAATCCCCCGACATGTTGAACATCCTGAATGTTCAGGGAAACAAGGGATCGATTGCAGTTATGTATCGATTTGAAAGGTGGTCATGTGGAACTCAAGTTTAAAAAAAACGTTAATAACTGATTTTTTATTTACTGCCACCAGTTTTATTTAGTTCCTTATTGATAATGTGAAGTGCACATTATGCATTTTTGTAAGAATTTGAGTTTATCAATAAAAAATATATTGGGACTTTATGATCTGTACAATGGGGAGAGGCTCCCGGAAAATATCCGAGAAGAGGCGCGAGCTTGTCCAACTATACTCCTGAAAAGGTGCGAGCTGTAACTCCAGTTTTCCTCTCATTTACCTCCCTTATTTACTCTGGAAGACTAAAAAGAAGTAAACATCAGAGTATATTTCCTCTCACTTTCATCAGAGTAAAAATGAAGGGAAACCGGAGTTAGCGCTTGCTTTTTTTCAAGTACAGGCAAGAAGGGCTCAACAATGAGCAAATGAGGAATATTTATTTTAAACTGCTAATTAGTATGAGACTCTTTCTAGTGTGATAGATCCCTGGAAAGGTAATTCCTTCAGTAACAACAAGAATTTTTCAGTGGTTTGTTTGACGTGCTTTTTACGACACGATTCCGTTATTCCTAGACTAATTTAGACCAACTCTTGCATCGACATTGACAGAAATTCTGATCCTTTATGTGATGATCCGAATGCCGAAATAAAGCAAGTTTTGCAAGGGGTATGTCCTGACAGAACTGCATGAATGCCCTATATGTTAACAGATCAGAGATATTTTTTCACCTTTCAGTGAAAAAAAAGTCAAATTCTCATAACTTCTCCATACCTCAAGATGATTTTTAGCATTAATGTTCTACAAGTTTAGCAAATGATGCCAGACAAATTTAACGGAAATCCCAGGTGATATATTTCCGCAAAATGAATTCAAATTTCAGTGCATCTATTTTATGACTACGTGTTAGTATTCCAGATAACCCCTGGAGTATGGTATCATCGGAAAGAGCATGAACAAACATTTCCAAAGAGCTATAAAGCATCCCTCTAGCAAGACTATAAGAGAAGTTATCACGATATTGAGGGGTGCCACTGAGTCACGAAGTAGACAATTTTTTCCTAATCCCTCATCTTAAGATCTAATTGACTGAAGACGAAAATACGTCGGATATCACACTTTCTCAATACTACAGAAAAGGGGTGAGAAAAGTTCTATAACCTAGTAACCAGGTTACTGGGAAGGGAAACAACCGATCGGGAAGGCAAGGCAGGGATAAAAAAATAAATAAATAACCGAGAAAAGGAAAAGCGAGGGGGAAAGAAAAAAATAATGCGAAAAGAAAGATCGGGAAGACGAGAAATGGTAATGGAGGGAAAGAAGGTAAATGACGACTGCCAACGAAAGGATAGAGGCACCGGGAAAATGAAACCTCCGAGCGGAACGGGGAAGATATATCCAAATGACTGAAGTTCAGGGACGAGGATATGAATTGCCATGAAATGAAGTGCCGAGCGCGTCTAGGCAAAAAGATCTTGGCATTGCGTATTCCCTCGATCCTGGGGTTGTAGGATTTCGCCCCAACGAGGATAGAAGGTGAAGACACTGGTTAAACTTGCCTGACCGTAAAGCAGAGGCGGCCTTGTCATCGGCTAAAAAAAAATGAATTATGATTTTCATTGCGTGATTTCACGAGGTGAGAGATACTCATCACTGAATTAGAATTAGACGGCGTTTTGCGCCTCGGAAACCTCTTCCTTTGCTCTTTAATCAATCAGTCGGCCCGACCTCGGGTTACCTGGCTTTACCATGACAGATTAACTGTTCCCTTCGCGTCTCTTTTCAAGTGACCTTATTAGACCCCAAGGTTGAGAGAATACATTGATCTTCATTCCCCATCGGAGCGCCGTCCAATCTCGTCCCGCACCTCAAGTACGTAGCAGTTCTTGTGTCCTGTCAACTCGTATGCATCCTGTCACTGAGGTAATATCAGCTGGTGTCTAGCGACGAAGTGCCTTAATTTAGCCAAAGAATTGAAGGGTTCAATTAAGTTCCTCCTAGTTGAAGCACTCCATCTCCATTCGTATTTCTTGTGAATAACGCAACAAGCATACAAGTTGAAACTACGTGCTGTTTCAGAGGTCGTTCACCGACAGAATTAGACAGAAGGGGAGGTTTCAAGTATGAATTCAATAAAATCAATATTCCAGTCCAGAATTCATGACATATTAATTATTGCAGATAGAAACAAGCATAAAATTGCATTTCCTGTAGAAACTCTCAAAGTTTTTGTCCTGTCCGCAAAAAGTATTCAAATTGTGCACACTTTTTCTCTACATATTCTCTACATGCTGAAATTTTCTATAGTAAAAATATATTGAATAGGCTATCGTTTGATTCATATATCATTGAAATCGGTGTATACTTCCTGATTAATAAGCTTTAATTTTTGGGGAGACAATTGTGGACCACCCTGTACTTCCTTCCTTTGGCATGTACTTCTTACAGTTATTAGTAATGTGTTCATGTTGGGTGGGATTAGTTTATTTGAAATTCAGATGGTGTCTACTTACTTATGTCATGTCTGCGTATAGCAAAATCAGGGAAAGTTTTAAGTACAGTACGTCAAAAAACCTTTTTCTCCCCCCTTAGCCATTGGACCAGGGCATGTACAGCTAAAAGAGTAGTACTGTACCTTTGAAATCCTTGTTTGACAAAGAATTTGTCTCTAATTTTCTGTCTCTAATTATAATTTATATTATAAGTTTTATATAAGTGTTACAGTCGGAAAGTACGGTGATAGTGAACAGACCAGGGCATAAGGTAGAATTCGTGCCATTGCCTTCCGTGAGGTACGAGACACGGCACTGACTTTATCAAGACCTGGATGGCAAGAAAGATTGAAAGGTCAGAAGAGTGGCGAACTGGAGGAAGAGTTACGAATAAATTTTGCTGAACACCACATAAATTAGAGCTGTAAGGCTATCAAGGGGACGAAACACAAACTGGAATGATTCCTTCTCGAAGGGAATTATGATATTAAAACACTACTTTCCTCCATTGTGTCGTATTCTTCGTATAGGGGGAAAAAGGGTTTATTGACGTCCAGGACAGAGACACAACGTGTTACGAATAATTAGCTTTACTACCATTTTCCCCCTTTTAAATACAGAGAATTAAAAAAATGTAATGTCTTCTTGCAATCAGATAAGAGAATTGAATGTCTTTCCAGCAACCTCAGCGCTAACACTTGTCATTCAAGAAACAGATAGAAAAATCAGATTCAAACTGCAACTTCCCTCCTATATTCGTCCGCTAATCTACATGTTGATTATTAAGTCTAGAAACATGAAAGTTTACTGATCTAGTTTTTTTAGGCGTCTCTTGATGAATGGCTCCGAGCCAAGTATATCGTGTGGAACTGATATTATTGTATAGGACTGGAAGCTTGTTGCGAAAACATATAACAGGAAACATCCTGATCGGTCACCAATTACACACAGTGCAGTAGCCAAGTTAGGTTTCCTCATGTTTCCAGCCTTATGAATCACCATGTAACCACTAATCTACCCCCACATTATGGATGCACTACCTGTCTATTCCAGTGCAAATAAAGCAGTCCTTGGGTCTTTTTCACAAAGCTTTGCTGTAACTTTTCTTTATCTTTGCTAGGAATTCACTTTGTCTTTACATTAACGCAACTCAAAACCCATTTCATGAACCTTCTCAATCCCTTCTTTTATTTTAAACTGAGTTTCCATGGCAACTTATGAGACATGCTGTCTAGTGTTTCTCACAAAGGAAACTGTTCAGAAATTAAGCTATCATGGGCACGACCAGGGAACTTTGCCACAACGCTAACAAATACCATCTGGGAAACACGAACAAGCTGAACGTTGAGGGAGTGGAATCCTATACGATTCACAAACGTGTTCATTGTCTTTTGGAGCCACGATCGGGACATGTGTCCAAACGGTCCCTATCACGTTTGGAAAAGTTGAATACTTGAAGGAAGCCATTCTTCCGAACTACGACATCCTCTCTCAATACAGGGAAAAGTAAGATTTTTTTTTACGTTTTCACAGATAACCTCACACAGAATGGATGCACCGAAAATATAGTAGGAATGGAAAGGCCTCGGCCATTGCCAAACATGGAGCAAATGGACCCTTTGGTCAGGGATCGAAGACACACGCATATTACAAGTTGGATTGGTAGTGCTCCACAATGGAACTCCCATTAAGATTGCCATTTAAAAAAATGTTTAGGAATTATCCACTCCAAATCCAGGTATCCCACCTTTCCTTTTTCATTCATAACGAATGGCTCTCTCTGTGGGCACTGCTCCCAGCTTCATCATATCTTTCTCCATCTAGAAATTCCATTCTTTACTTCCGTTTCATCTCATCCATGAAACCACTTCTCCCACAAGCTCCGCCAAAAAATTACGGAAAAGCCTCATGTACTGAGGCTTCAAGCTATGGCATTTCCCCTTTTTAAATCCGATAAGATGCTCCCTACATTTTAAAACTGACTTCAGAGTGTCCAATATCACAGTACATGCCTCGAGTGCTCCACCAATATCTAAGTCCTAACGTTTATTTAATTATCTGTTATTCATTTTTATTTTCATTTTTCTTCCTCTGCACACATCATACATTGACTTGCTGGATTCTCCCCACTCCTCCATGGCCCATCTCACTTCCCTCTGAATGTGCTGAAGCTGGTCAAACTGATTCAATTGAATTTTTTGTTAAGCCATAGAGATTTCTGTGCTGTCATTAGAAATGGGGTATACTCGTCGCGTTATCCAGCACAGCTACGAAACCCTACAGTGAAAGGGTTAAAATCACATCAGAATGATGCTTCTATCTACAGGGCGTTCCATAAGTCCCTTGACTCCCCCCCTCCCCCATTTTTTTTCTCTCTTGTTTCAGGTGAATTATGGTTAGGATTTGTGTAGATATGAGGGACCGAGGTCCTTTTAAGGTAGAAGAGCGTTTAGTGATGAGTTTTTTGGTGCATTAGCGCCAAAAAAAAGTGGAAAAAACGACACATTTGATGCGGACTTTCGAGACCGATTTGGCAAAAATCCTTTACGAAATGTCTCATCGCACCTGGCCCCTCATCATTCTGGGTTCGAAAAACGATGGCGCTCATACTGATCCCCTTGATCTCCAAATGATCCCCAGTTTCTCGAATGGGGGTTATTAATTGTCAATATGAATGTTGTTTCAAATTGACATGTTTTATTTTGCTGCTACTATTGTTCACTATCATTCACAAGAAAAAAGAGGGGTGTCAAGGGACTTATGGAACACCCTGTAGATTAGAAGAGAACATACTGGTGACTCACCCAGGTTGTTTAGCATAAGGGTTTAACATAACCGTATCTTAAGTTGAATTTAATGTTATCGCATTAATCATGCATCTCTGCCCAAAAAGATAGCCTGATCAACTTGTGGATGGTGCTACCGTGCTGAAAGGGCTCGCATTGCTCAAGACATATGGTCCTCTCCTCCTTGACGAACCCATGGATATGTGGGTTGCCATCATAAGATAATGTTTCTGCCTGCGACGGTAAGAGATCTGACTCTAATGGAAAGATTCTGGTCACAAAATGAAGTTAAATTCTCGTGCAAAAAAAAAGGCAGATTAATTCCTTGTAGCAATGAAGAAAACCAAAACTGTTGGGGACATATGATCTGAATGCTGCAGAATCTCCGCTTTTATGGATGACCTCTGAATAGAAGGGAAGTAAGACAAGGATTATCTCAAACCTGGTGATCCCTAATGATCGTCCAAACGTCTGGGAATCGATATCGGATTTCTGAATGAAGGATGTAGCGGGATGTAGGGTCAGAAGGAAAGCACTCCTGGACGGGGAACTCCTCGCCGACCTTTGCCTGAATGACCCACTCGGCCACGCTTGAGCAAATCACCTCTACAGTGTCCTGTTCCTCAATCATGCTGAAATGCTCGACACTCTCCATTCCCCGATGCTCTGCCAACATCTTTCTCAATGCCTTTTCTTCCCTCGAGTTCAGGCACCCGACTCCTCTGTGAATGAACTGATGGACATCCGGTCATCATCATTCTTTTTCCAAGTATCTTCCGTTATGAGATTGTGTGAACACTTGCGACAGAACAAAAGGGTGTCCAAATTCAATGAACTAGGGAGGTTTTTCCACACAAGCATATTGACATAATCAACAAGTCTTCTAGTGATCAACTTCAAGAAATACACTATAAATTTTCGACACATTCCAGCCACCTATGCTGTCACATTGGCAAGATTGGAGAGAGCCTCTGGGTTGACTGGAATTATTTACGGACGCTTTTTTTCCAGCTGACAGTCTATCAAGCTTTGTGGCATAAACTGTGGCCTTGATGTGATATCTGAAGAGTAGTGAAGAGTAAATGTGAGAATGCTCACCGTGGTGTCCAGCACCCTTGACGGTTGCATGGCCACCCTCGGGTACTAATACCTCACCCTCTTTTCAAGATAGCATCAAGTCTTTTATCGGCACATACGCCCTTCGGCATCGTTCAAGGCCAAATAAATATTCCCTTGGGATTTCCATCTCTCTCTCTCTCTCTCTATACGCACCCTTCGGAGATCCATTCCCACCTTTCATGAGTGACGCAATCTTTTCACTATGGAGAACATATTCAGTACTAGGTCTACCTTATTGATCGACTAACAGACACAATTAATGTGAAGCTGTTAAGTTCTCGATATAGCCGTGTATTATGCTAGATGAAAGTTCTATAACGACCTATTCGTATACCTCATATTACTTATAGTGTACTGACATCTATATTTAGAGCAGTGGTGCCCAACCTTTTCGGCTCGCGGGCCACATAGCCCACTCCCATAGTCATCGCGGGCCACATGCAGTCGCTAATACTGTAGGAGAATATTTTATGGAAACTCGTGGGTATTTATTGCAGCTCAAGCGTATCTGTTTTAGTGTGACTTCTGCACTTGCATGTCCGACGCCAATTTGCCGATGTCTGGTTGCAGGTTACTAGTGGCCAGTCGCATCAGGCCAGCTAGGTTCATGTCCGTAAGGCGCGAACGGTGTTTGCTCTTGATAATTTTCATCGCCGAGAATGCTTGTTCACATCGGTAGGTACTCCCAAAGCGGTAGATGTATCGCTGAGCAAAATCACGTAAGTTCGGAAAATCATTCGGTGGCAGTATTTTCCAAATATATATCATTTGTTCTGCTGTTGGGACGCCAGGCATTTCGTTGAACCTGCTCTTGAGCACGGAGATGCACTTAAGGCCTATGATTTCTAGCTGCAACTTCTCTTCCACCAACTCTATCTTCCCGTCAGAGAAGATAAACGTGTTTGTAAATGGCGTCACTTTGTCTTCTTCTGCTTCGATGTCTTGAAATCGGGACTGAAATATCTCTTGCAGGGTCTCCAGTATCTCCTTGTACTTGTTCGTGTCGACTCCGGTTTCTGCCTCCCTCTCTTTTAAGTGTTAGAAGTTCTCCAGCTTTCTCTGAGCCATCTGAGACATAAAAAGCTTCAGCTTCAGTTTGAAAGAGGCAACGTCATTGGCAGGATTTGTGAAAAGTTTGTTCCTCCCATGCAGTTTCAGATTCAGTGTGTTTAAGTGACCGGTAATATCGGTCAGAAAAGCTAAGTCATTGAGCCACTCACTGTCAAGCAAAAGTTCTCGTTCCGCTGGTAACTCGCCCTTTTCTTCCAAAAACTGCAGCACTTGAGTAACCAAAAGCGGGAGAGAACTTTGCCCTTCGACAGCCATCTGACTTCACAGTGGAGTAGGAGTTCACCGTATTCCTCTTCCAGGTCTTCGAGGAACTCTCGGAATTCGCGCCGGTTTAACGCCCTGGCTCGAATTCTGTTCATGCATTTCACCACCACGTC